AGAAATAACTTTCTGAAGGCTTTAGTGCTAATCAAGGCTAGGGATTAGACCAGAACCCAGGGTGGGGCTTAAAACAAGGATGGGCACAGAACAGGAGGGGCCCGCCATTGCTAGTTTTGCCTGAAGCCTAAGCAGATCTGAGTGGGTCTGGAGACCAAAGCTGGTAAGTGGGCTTCGCAATTCCAAAGAAGGCAGCAGGGATGGCAGGGCCCATGAGGAAGTCACAATTTCCTGTACCTGCCAGTGCTTTGGCTTCTCCAGGAGTTATCGTACAGTTTATTCATTTCATCCATTTCTTGGGCTGACCGAATGAGCTCCTGGATATTCTCCATCATCAATGGAGGAGAGTCCACTTCTCGGACACGGGGAGTGAAGGAGGAAGGGTTGGAAGACAGCGAATCAGATTGAAACTTGGGCTCTGGGTCCGACTGCAGACTGGACACTGACTCCAGGCCCTCCTCTGTCCCCTGCCCCTCTTCCTGCTTTGCTTCCTCCTCTTCTTCCTCCTCTTCCTGCTCCTCCTGCTCCTGCCCTTCCTCTTGCTTATGCTCTTGAACCTGCTCCTGCTTGTGCTGCTCCTGCCCTTGCTTGCGGCTGCTCTGTTGCTCCTTGCCTCCCAGCGACAAGGAGGACTGCAGCAGCTCCTCCACATTGTTGTTGAGACGCTCAGGCCAAGCCTGGAAGGCCTGGCGTTCTGTGGCTGCAGCAAGGTTTAGAAGAGACCAAGAAAGAGAAAAGAAGGGATCAGACTTCCTTCTCCTGGACAAACCACATTCATATGTGCCGCCATGGTGGTTTCTTAGCACCTGGGAGGTGGAGACGGGGAGGACATCAAATCCAGCCTCAGCTACATACACACTGAACTTGAGGCTACATGAGGCTGAGACCTTATCTCAAAAACAGTAACACAAGTTTTTTTTTTTTTTTGTCTGTTTTTGTTTTTGTTTTTTTTAAATCAAGTAATTGGGGCTGGAAGGTGGTTGGTAAAGTGCTTGCAAGCATGGAGATCTGAAAGTCTACATAAAAGCTGGGTATGGCAACACACGTAAGGTGGGGACAGAAGGATGCTGAGGATTTACAGGCTAGCCAGTGAGCTCCAAGATTTTTTTTCTATTAATTTTTTGTTTTTTTCAATACAGGTTTTCTCTGTGTATCCCTGGCTGTCCTGGAACTAGCTCTGTAGACCAGGCTGGCCTCGGACTCAGAGATCCACCTGCCTCTGCCCCCTGAGTGATGAGACTAAAGGTGTGAGCCACCACTGCCCAGCAATTAATTATTTCTTTGAGACAAAGTCTTGCTATGTAGTCTTGGCTGGTCTGGAATTCATAGAATTCCACCTACTTTCCATGTGCTAAGACTAAAGGCCTGTGGCACCTTGCCCAGTAGCTTAGGTTTCTTTTCCCTTCTTTTTCTTTTTTTATGTGTCTATTTTCTTATGATTTATTATTTATTTTTATTTTATGTGCATTAGTGTTTTGCCTGCCTGTCTGTGTGGATGGGGGTATTGGATCTCCTGGAACTGGAGTTACAGACAGTTGTTTTTTATTTTTTGGTTTTTCGAGACAGGGTTTCTCTGTGTAGCCCTGGCTGTCCTGGAACTCGCTCTGTAGACCAGGCTGGACTCAAACTCACAGAGATCCACTTGCCTCCCAAGTGCTAGGATTAAAGGCGTGCACCACCACCACCACCTGGAGTTACAGACAGTTGTGAGCTGGGAATTGAACCCAGGTCCTCTGAAAGAACAGTCAGTGCTCTAACCACTGGGAAATCTCTCCAGTCCCAGCTCTAAAGAACCAGTCTCAGGAACATGATGGTACATGCCTTTAATCTCAGCATTCTGGAGACGAGGTAGATCTTTGTGAGTTCCAGGCCAGCTAGGGCTACATAGTCAAAACCCTGTCTCAAAATAAACGTGGTGACTGAGGAAGACACTCAGTGTTGACCTCTGATTCCCACATATATGCACACACACACATACACATGAATATATTTGTACATACAGTCAATAGACTAATATCAAAATTAAAAGTCATTACCATGACAAATGCATTGGTGGTGTGTGTCACCTTTCCACTTGCCTTGCAAGTGTACTTGTTCCCTAGAACAAATGTTACCTTTATTCATCTAGAGAACACCATGTATGCCAAGACACTAGCAATTAATTCCTTCTATTTGAAGGAGGGGATTCTAGGATTCAAATCCAGAGCCTCACACTTGCTAAGCATATGCTCTACATTGAGCTATTCTCCCAGTCCAAACACTCTCTAAGATGAAGATATTAATTTACAAAAGGCCAAGAAGGCTTTTTTTTAAATTTTCATTTTATGTGTATGGGTGTCTGAATATATGTTCTGGCATCACGTTCATGCAGTGCCTGTGGAGGCCACAAGAGGGCGTTGAATCTCCCAGGCCTTCCACGTGAGGGCTAGGAATTGAGTTCAGGTTCTCTAGAAGAGCAGCCAAGGCTATTAACTGGAGATCTCTGTGAGTTTGAGGCCAACCTGTCTTTGGAACTAGGAAAAACGGATTCAGACAAGGAGCCTTGACTTATTTCATGCAAAGAATGCTCTCCACTCCCGGACTCCTCAGTCTTCTTACCGCCAAGGAAGGCCTGACACCCTGAACCCTGGGAACTGTGGTTTCCCAACACTAGGAGGTCTCACCTGTGACATGGGATGCCATGGCGGAGGTCATGGTAGTGGGTGCAGCTTCTGCTGAAGAATCTACCTCCTTGAGAGTGTTGGGTGATAGGATGGAGACTGGCTGGGAGCACCGGACCCGCTGCAAGGGAAGAAGAAAAACAGGAATGCCTTTTCCAGAGAGCAGCCACTTTTGCTCCAGAGGATTCCTCAGACCCCTTCCTAGCAAGTCACAGTTCCCACAGTTCCTGGTGGGATACAGGAACACAGCTCCTCTACGAAGCCCCTCGTCCTAAGAAAGGGAGTTTTTTTTAGGCCTGCCTTCACTCATTCCCAGCTAACTTGAGTAAAAACATGGACCCTTTGAAGTAACAGAAGGACACAGCTCTGCCTCTTCCCAGAGTCTTTTCTCTCCTTTACTCACAGGAACAAGGGTTGTTCAGCCCGTGTGAGCACCTTGGCAAACTGACAGGAGCGTGAACTAAATGATATCCTCCCTCAGCTTCCCACCCCACAGCCTCTACCCTGGTTCTGGATCGCGAGACTCAACCTTTCTCACCTTGGCATAGTAGACATGGTTGGAGCAACGATACTGAGCAAACTGGCAGAAGGACTCAAACCAGGAAGCATACGGGAGGTCAGAGCAGACAGCACCTGAGGGGTAAGCACCCAGGGAGAGCAAGGTTACAGCAATGCCGGGGCTGGGTCAAGTTCTCTGCCATCTGGCCTGAGCTGCCAGCTATATCCTTCCCCGGCCTCCTAGGTGAGCACGAAGCTTTTGCCCCGAGCCCAGTTGATCTCTGGGTATCTAGGTTTGCCCACCGGTCTGGTCCTCACCATCTGGTACCAATCCGTGGTTTTCATATTGGTCCAACTGGACGAGAGTGGGGTTCCGGCAGCCGTGGGTTGCACGGAGGCGGCAGGTGGTCTCTGCCTTCCAGGTAGGGGTCAGCAGGGCGAAGAAGCGTTCATATTCAGTGGATGTGAGAGGGCTGCCCGGACTGGAGGCCGAAGATGTCTCCTCAGCTAAAAGAGGTGTTACAGGCAGGAGCCTCACTGCAGGACAGGGGGACAGACAGGAATGGACCTTACTCCAAAACATACTCCACGTCCAGTGTCCAGACCCAGACTAGAAGTGGACTCCCCATTAATTAAGAACTGGGGTGTGTGTGTGGGGGGGGTGTTGTCCTGGGTGATGTCTGATGACTAACTAGAGTGTCCCTAGACATTTCTAGGGACAAGATATTAAAGTCCAACCTCCTCGAAGCCAGGCAGTGGTCCAATTCGACCACATGGAGACAGCCCTCCCAGAACCCACGAAAAAGGGGCTCTCAGGTGGCAGGGGCCTCAAGCCCTTTGGGAGCATAGGGAAGCCCCAGGGAAGATCCACCCACGTTTTCAGACCAGGACAGTCTCCAACCGGCCAACCCTAGCCGCTCACCTTCCAGAAGCAGCAGAAGGAAGCCAGCAGCTAGTTTCATCATGGCCCGGAAAGATTCACCCGCGTTTTCACGCCAAAGCGACCTCCAACGGGCCAAGCCTCGGAGAGCTGTGGGTCACGGGCTGCTAACGCGGAGGCAGGAGGCGGGGTGCTACGTCACAAAGGTGAGGGCGGGGCCGGGCCGCGCGGGGAACTCCAGTGAGGGGCACCAGTTGTGGGCCTTGGACCCAAGGCAGAAGCCACGGGCTGCAGCAACCCCTCTTCAACAGAGTAAGCCCTCTGTTGCTCCGTTCTACTTTCTTTGATTTTTTATTATTTTTTTTTTTTTTGCGCTGCCGGGAACTGAACCTAGAACCTCGCTTCTCCTACTGCAGAGCTAAAAATCCCAGCCCTGTGTACTACTTTCTGCCACTTAGCCCTAGACCCAGGCGTGCACGTACTATCACCTCTTGCTTCTACAGATAAAGAGCGGGGCTTAGGAAAGTCATGTACCTAGCTGGATGGAGACCTAGTAGTTGGGTATAGACAGCGCTCTGGGCAGCAGAGCTGGAGTACGTGAAACAAAGGCAGGGATGACCTGGCTAAGGAGCCAGAGGATGGATACCTCAGGTAAGAAACCGGTCCTAAGTTAAAATGAACACAGGGTCCACCAAGATGAACACACGTGGTGGCTCAGGGGACTTACTATTTCCAAGAGGGAGGTGACCAACACTGGGGGATGAAAATACTTTGGTTTTTCCAGACAGGTCTTCTCTGTAGCTTTGAAGCCTGTCTTGGAACTTGCTCTGGAGACCAGGCTGGCCTCAAAATCACAGAGATCTGCCTGCCTCTGCCTCCCCAGTGCTGGGATTAAAGGCCTGCACCACCACCGCATTTTGTATTTAAAAGAAATCAAGCTGACACTATCACAGCACACATAGTTAACGCAAATACATGATTTATTGGAATCAGGTGAAAAGTGCTTCACTGGAGCAGATGCATAATTACAAAGTTCTGAGTCCCCCAGTGCAAGGCACCCCTCCAGGTGGGCAAGTCGTAAATATCACAGGACAAGTACCACTTTGGGTTTCATGTCTTGTCCTATTTCTGGCAAGCCATTCTCCTGCCTCTCATCCAATCCAGAGGATGCAAAAGGAATGTTTAGCACATGTACGGAAACAGGCTCTACAATAAACACAGCAGGCCAGCGTGGATAGCTTTTATTTACCTACCCCACTCCTTTTACATGTGAGTTATCTGTGCTCCACCTTGCCCCTCTCCCATTCAGTCAGGATAAATCCCCGGGTCACAGAGGAAGGGGTAATCACTCAACTAGGCCAGAGCCCAAATGATCTAGAAGATCCCTCACCATGGAAAAAAGAAAGAGGATGGAGAGGTTTGTCCTACCTAGCCCCGGTGGGGGAAGGGGAGATTGAGGAGACTGGGAGAGTGCCCACTCCACTGCCCCAGCCCTTAAATACAAAGCAAGGGAATGAAGAGGACCCTCCCTCTGAAATACAGCACCAACCTCACCATGGAGGCAAAAGGACAGTGAGTGGGATTCCTTCCCTCTGGAGGAGAGAGTGGAGCGAGAGCACATACCGTCAGTGGCTGTGGCGCCCTCCCTACCGGGGTTTGGATGCAGCCTCAGCACCAGGAGTAGGGAGAGGGAGAAGGGACGGCGGTACTGCACTGTCGACATCTCCCTGGACCCCCAGTCCCCAGCAGAGGCGTTCCTCTCTGTCACTAGCCCAGGTCAGGGGGATTTGGAAGAGATCTGGGATGGAATCCAAGGAAACCTATTTCTTTTTTCGTTCTTGGGAGCAGCGTGGGCAAAACCTAAAAACCGACAAAGAAGAGCAGGGCAAGCAGAAAGTAAGTGAAGCCTGCGTTGTCTCTTGCGCTCAGCTCGGGGACAGTGTGTCCAGCTCCTGTCACAGCTCTGTCACTTACCATTTCCCTCGAGGCTTGGTTGTCAGCCCCACACAGGCGAAGTGGAACCACTCGATGGAACACTGGACAAGGAAATGGAACACAGCAGTCAGGCTGGAGGGAGAGCTGTCGTCTGCAGACTCCTGAGCCTTTGGGAAGCTTCCTCCAAGTCTCAAGGCAACCCAGTCCAACCGCCGTCCTACTCTGCAGTTCCTCTCTTCAGCTGAATCACCTCCCCCTTTTGTCCAGGCCCTCACAACCCTCAGAGCTCCTCCCCCAATCCTGAGTCAAATGGTTCTTACATCTGGGTTGTCACAGCCAATCATCTCTCCATAGGAGACCTGGTGACAAAGGCAATATGTGGGTTCGTTGGGATCCACAGGCATATCCAACACATCAGAGGGGTGGACACTGCCAAAGGTCACTGAGGGCATCCCATACTCAGGACTTCTGCATGCCAAGAGGAAGACAAATGTCATCTGCAGGAAGGGAAGCTACAACCTGAGCTCTGAGATGGCAGAAGGTCAAGGTGAGGCAAATGACGTATGGCTTCTTCTCCATCCAGCAGACACCAAAGTGGTATAGAGAGTTACTGGCACAGAAGACAGGGAAAGTGGCGAGAGGCAACGCTGGCTGGGAGGTAGACGCCCTCTGGTATACTCACGTGCGCACAAGTTTTAGCTTCTTCTGGGCAGCCTTGGGGGCTTCTTCATCTGAGTTTTTCCCTTTGGAACGGGCACGGGCAGCTTTTTTCTCCTTTTGAGTCCGGCCTTCTAGGAAGAAAGGGTAAGCCAGAAGGCAGAGACAAAAAGATGGGTTAAGTCCTCTTTGTTCCTGTTCCAGGCGATGCTGCTCCCTCATAGCTGGAGTTACCCTCTTCTCCCTGAATCCTCGCCCGCATCTCACAGCCCCGCCCCCCTCCTCACTCTTTTTGCCTTTGCTAGAAGAGCTGTCATAGTCACTTGACTCGATCTGTTTCTCCTTCAGATCAGCCTCAAAACGGGCCAGGTCTGTATCCAGCCGCCGAATATGTTTGTCCACCTGTGGGGGAGGAAGAAGGGAAGAGGTACAAGGCTGGTTCCAATGAAAGAAAACAGCTAAGGTAGACTGATGTCTCTCCCAGACCCAGAACAGATCCCAACACAGCTGAAGGAGAGGTCTAAGACCCTGAGGGTTAGATTGGGAGATAGGTGGGAAGCCATGAACAGGGCCATACCATCTCATAGGTCTGCATGGCAAGCTGCACCTTGTCGTCACCAAATTCCTTGCACTTGCCATAGGCCTCCTGGATCTGTCTGAGAAGGGCCAATTTTTCCTCGGAGCTCAGGCTGCGGGCGCTACTCATATATTCAGTGGCCAACTTGTCAATTTCAGCCTTCAGGTCTACAACAGAGACAGAGGCCTGGGTCACAATGGCCCTGGTGGCTAGATGAAACATACTTCTTCCTCTTGCTCTTTGCACCTTTTCCATTGGCCATCAAAACCTTCCAACTGAAATGTACGTTCGTACGTTCACAGGTACTGTGCACTGTGCTCAGGAAATGCAACACTGAAATTATTTGGGCCTTTTCTGGTTTGTTTTGAGACAGTGTCAGTATGTAGCTCAGGCTGGCCTTGAACTTGGGATATCCTCTTGTCTGATTCCCTACCACTGGGATTACAAACATATGCCACTGTGTCTGGCTGAGACCAGTGCCTTCGAGGTGCCGAAAACATGGCTGCCAGAGTTGGAAATGAGACTCCCGAAAGGCATTGTGGGGTTCTCAAACGTGTACATGTTAACATGAAATGCATTTCTGATGATGGTTCAAGATGCTGCTTTGCAGGGCTTGCTTGCTGCTTGCCTCATGAGTTTGGTTCCAAAGGCCACCTTGTTTCTTGTCTTAACCGAATCCCTGACAGACCTGACTGCTGCAAACCAGGCCGAGTCACTTACTGGTGCTGTGGCCTCCAGATCTCTCTACCTCTTTCTCTTTGAGACAGGGTCTTGCCCAGGTTGGCCTCGAATTTATGATCCTCCTGCCTAAGCCATCACAGTGCCAGGTCTGAAATTTTAACATTAGGTCCTAATTCCTCCAAGAAATGCTGCTTCTGCATCCTTACTGTCCACCCTACATTTTTCTTTCCATTTTTTGAGCACCAAGTCTCATTCTGTAGCTCAAGATGTCTTAGAATGTACTATGTAGTCCAGGTTGGCCTCAAAAAAGAAGCAAATCATCCTGCCTCAGCCTCCTGAATGTTGAGTTTATAGGTGTGAGCAACCAGTTTGCTCATCTTACTTCACTCATCAGTTGCAATTTGCTTACAATTCTTGTCACTTTTTTTTTTTCTGTTTGTTCATCTTAGATATTGCTCCAAACACCTTACCACTAAGAGGGCTGGTGATACCCCAGAACACTGACCTGAAGATGTCCACTCCCTAACATTAGGTAGGGCTTGTACAAATACCAATGGAAAGAGGCAAAAGACTGTAACACACTGCAGCAGCAGACAATGAGAGGATCTGGGAACATGCATTCCAGGCCTTTAGAAGAAGTTGGGAAAGTATACAGTCCCATAATCTCCAGCTGGTCTTTAAGCATGGACTCAAGAGTTAGAATTTCATTACCAAGGAATCCAGCTGATTCTAACCATATGGCAGGCGGCTGTCAGTGGCAGATGTCCAGGATGCTAGTTAATACTCACTTCTCATGAAGAAACGTAACCAGAGTAACTTAAGACATGGCCTCCAAATATCCTAGCCCATTACATCTTTGAACATGGCTACATAGAATGGATCCTTCAGTAGGTGTGGGGGCACTTTCAACACGAACCTTAAATCTGGAGCAGACCAATCTGAGCACTGTGGTGTAGCCTTTCTTAGGCTCCAGATTAATACCTCAGTGTAGCCAAATCTGCTCCATGTCCAAGGCCTGAGACAATGCCTAGTGCATCTGTCAGCGGAAGAATACAGTATAGATCTCCTGATGTTAAGTGATGCCTTGTGTCTTCTTGTTTTTATTATTATTTGTTAGTTTATCTATTATCTATCTATCTATCTAGCTATAGAAAAGGTCTCATGTAGCCCAGGCATACCTTAAACTGGGTGTGTACCTGAAGACAACCTTAGATTTTTTTTTCCCAAAAAACAGGGTCTCACTATGTAGTCCTAGCTGGCCTGGAACTGGAATTCAATTTACAGATCAGGCTAGTCTTGAACTCACAAAGATCTGCCTGTGCTTCCATGCCTGGCCCTTCTTTTTTTTTAAGAGCTTCTCAGCAAAGTTCTTGTCAACCAGTATGAGCTGTAGTCTAAAGCCTGGTGTACTGTATGGTAACATAAACAATGCAATGAGGTATAACCTATGGTTATCATGCAAAGGCAACAAACAAAAAACAGTAGAAACATCTAGGGTTGGTGTCTTGAATTCTTGAAGAAGGTACAAAAATCATAGCATTTATGAATGTTATTTATTTATTTTGTGTGCATAATTTGTATGTGTGTGTATCAACGTGAACAGTGGCTTAGAGGTGGTGGTCAGAGGACCAACTTCCTGGAGGTTCTCTCCTTCTACTATGTGGGTCTCCCAGGACCTGGGTTGTCAGGCATGGCAGCAAACACCTTTACCCCCTGAGCTGTCTGGCCAGCTCAGCATCTCTAACCTCTTGAGGCATTGTCTTAATACTCCATTTGATGTGGAAAAGCAGAATGAGGATGACCATTATCTTCTTTTAAGAATTCCATGAAAGGCAGGCTGGAGAGATGGCTCAGTGGTTAAGAGCACTGGCTCGTCTTGCAGAGGACCTGGGTTCAGATCCCAGCACCCACATGGTGGCTTTTAACCATCCTGAACTCCTGTTCCAGGATATCTGATACCTTCTTCTGACCTCTTTGTGCACCAGGCACACACATGATGCCCAGACATACACACAGGCAGAACGCACACACGCTAGCGCGAGCACACACACACACACACACACACACACATAGATAAAATGCCACAGTCCTTCAGGTTATACCAGATGGTATGGTAACAGAAAGTAGGGAAAAATGAAGATCAACAAGAGCCTGCTATTCTGTACGTACCCTCTGTCCTTTGGTCTAGGTCCCTCATGAGCTGAAAGTTTCTCTGTAATTCAAATGGGAGGTTTTCAATACCTGGGAAGACAGAGAATATAGTTACTGGCTTATACCGGTCTTGGCAAGTGCTCTACCACTCAACTACATCACTGGCCCTAGGGCTCCTTTTAAAATGAAATGCAAGCTGGAAGTAACAGGAGGCAGAAGAATTAGGAGCTCAAATCAGTGTCAGCCACATAGGGAATTTGAAGCCAGTCTGGGTTACATAAGATGTTGCTTTGTTTTATTTTGGTTTGGTTTGGTTTCCCAGACAGCCCTAGCTGTCCTGGAATTCACTTTGTAGACCAGGCTGACCTCAAACTCAGAGATCCACTTACCTCTGCATCCCAAGTGCTGGGATTAAAGGCATGAGCCACGACTGCCTGCCTGGCTTAAGATAGTTTTCAAATTCAAAACAAAACAGAATAAACAAACGAACAAACAAATAAAAACCCAAATAGACAAAAGTGCAGGGGCTGGAGGGATGCTCAGTGGGTAAGAGCACTGGCCATTCTTGCAGAGGACCAGAGTTTGGTTCACAGCACCAGTGCTGAGTGGCTTACAAGTGCCTGTAACTCCAGCTCTGGGGGGAGTACAGTGCTTCTGGGTTGCAAGGGGACTTGTACCCCCGAATATACACACAGTCACCACCCACACAAATGTGGAACTCAAAATTATTTTTAAAAATCATTTTCTAAAAATATGTAATTCAACATTAAAAAATGAAGTGCAGAGCCGGGCATTGGTGGCACACGCCTTTAATCCTAGCACTCGGGAAGCAGAGGCAGGAGGAGCTCTGTGGGTTTGAGACCAGCCTGGGCTACAGCCTCCAAAGCCACAGAGAAACCCTGCCTCGAAAAAACAAAAAACAAAAAAACAAAACAAAAAAAAAAAATGAGGTGCAGTTCAGCTTCTTCTCATTCTCCTCATTTGAATTTTTCTTTCTTTTTTCTTTTGACGACAGGGTCTCTGTAGCCTAGCCTGGATGCCCAACAATGAATTTCTAGTTATCGTTTATCAAACTCCCAAATGTTGGGACCTAATAGTTCTGTGTCAATATACCAGATATATTCAGTGTTGGGGAATCAAACCCAGGGTCTCCTGCATGCTAGCTAAGCACTCTTAACATCCCAGCCCTGAAATGGGTTTATCTGGGAAGGATTCATTTGCCTTTGTTCAACAGAGAAGACTGGCCTCTCTCTCTCTCTCTCAATTAGCTTGTCTCTGTGTAACCATCCCATCCTCCTCCTCTTCTGTGACAATCTACACACTAGTTTTCCCTTTATTTTCAGTTTCTGCTCCATCTTCTTTGCCCCCCACTTAAAATACCAACCTAGTTCCTTCAGCACTCATCACGCACACCATGACCTTCCAGTAACTCCTTATTTCTCGTGCTCTGAGCTTCCTATCTCGATCACCTCACTCAGCCACGCAGTCTCTCTGCTCAGGCCTTTTGGGTGCAATCTCGCTCACCAGCTTCCCAAGAGCTGTCTTCCTCCTCCCACCCCACCATACCTACTCACTTTCTGCTCATTATTCAAAGTGCAGCCCAGAACTTGACTTTCCCAGACTGTGATAGGCGCCAAGGTAGTCTAGTGAATACTTTTAGTTTTTTATCCAACCATAACTAAATAATTAACATAGTTATTTACTCTGTGTCGTCTCCCTAGCCTTCCAGGGCAGATACGTGTCTGTATCAATTTTACAATTCCCTCAGGTTTAGAATTGCCATGCAAACAGAAAGTGCCAGGGAATCCTTGAATAAACGCATTATTAGCTAAGTATCCCCATAGAAGCAAAATCTCATCCCCCCAGCCCAGGGGCTTGCATCTGCTAGGCAAGTGCTCTACCATCACTTTTTTTTTTTTTTTTTTTTTTTTTTGGATAGGGTCTCATTGTGTAGCCCTGGCTGGCCTAGAGCTCAATATACAGACCAGGCTGGTTTCAAACTCAGAGAACTTCCTAAGAGCTGGGATTTAAGGCATGTGCCACCACACCCACCAATTTTTAAAGTGTTTCTACCGGCAGCACACGCCTTTAATCCCAGTACTTGAGAGGCAGAGGCAGGTTGATCTCTGTGGGTTCAAGAGACCAGCCTGGTCAACAAGAGCAAGTTCCAGGACAGCCTCCAAAGCCACAGAAAAACCCTGTCTTGGAACTCACCCCCCCCAAAAAAAAGTTTCTAATAACTAGATGATGGGAACAGATTTAGTAGACTTCCTATGGCAGGTCTTACCCTGTCCTTGGAGCAGATGGGAGGAAGGGGGAGTGGAGGAAGTGGGAAGAAAGGACAGGGGGAGAACTGGGATTGGAATGTAAAAAATAAAAAAAGAGAAAAAATGTTTCTACTAAACCAGGCATGATGTCACATGCTTATAATTTTAGCCCAGGGGAGATGGAAAGAGGACCTGGAGTTCAAGGTCATCCTCAGCTATGTACCATTAGACACTGTTTGAAAAAACAACAAAAAGGTGCTTCAACATCAGCTCACTAGGATCCTTTAAGTCACCAACAGATTACCAAATCAAAGGATCCACCCTTTGTTCATATTATCTTCTCATGAAAGTGACTTTCTTCCTCCTAGTCTTACAAATACTAAACCGTAGAGCCAGTAACTTCAACACTGATGTCTTATCCTTTAAAGGCTGTTTCCTTGAGATTTTTTTTTCTTACTTGCTCACTTTCTTTTCCCTGAATGATCTCACTGTGACAGACTTTATACCTATTTCTAAGGCAAATATATATATTTGTATGATGCCCAAATCTCCTACACTGCAGAATTCACCTTGATTTTTGCTTCTCAATCACAAAGTTATGGTTAATATCTAAAAATTTCTGTCATTCTCTAAGATCAGGTTTGCATTTCTGACTTGGGGACTGCTGCAGTTAACTGATCAGTTACTTTCCTTTATTAAAATCAATACTCTATTTTAAGATGCAAATATCTTGTGTGGCATAAAACACTGTTTAATCTACTTCCAGCCTATTCTCAGTCCCCAGCCTGTCAACACACACAACTCATTTTATGAGAACTGGATTTTGCAAGTGTCCCAGTTTAAACAACTCAAGTGGTCGTTCCTTGCATCCACCTAGTTTCATGAGAAGCCACTCTGGGGACATAAATGACTAAAGGGAACTACACCACGTATTTGCAGCTGCTCCAGATGACAATGAGTGATAACGACCCTGGGCAACTTAGGAGACAAAAATGTAGCCCGAGGACAAGGACCCTGAAGAACTGAGCCAGGAAACACCTCCCCTGCCACCCGCATCGCTTCGAAACGCAGCCCTGCCCCGGCCGGGCAGCCCTGCCCGGGTCTAAACACTAGCGAGGCCTCTATTGCCCTGCCCCGCCCCCTCCTCCTCCTCCTCCTCCCTCGAATCAATCTTCCCACGCAACTCTTTCTCAACTGTGAGCTTCAGGCCCCCAGGGCCTCGGAGCTACAGACTCTGTCAACCCGGACCCTCCGCACCGCTCCACGACCCACGACCCGCTGCTTCGGTCGGCTCTTACTGTCCAGATAATGTTCCAAATACATCCCAGCAGCCATCTTGAAGCAAAACAAAGCAACTTCCGATCCGCCCCGGAAGTGACTGAAACTAGACAGGCGCTGGAGCCATTCTTGGACTAGAGCCTTTCCGTACTTCAAAGGACTTCCGCCCTTACTAAACTGTCGCCCCCCAGATACATCCGCCCGACATTGAACCTTTTCGCAGGGCTAGTCGCGGTCGCCCACAGCGAGGCGGCTTTAGCTTGCTTCCGCCCTTACGACGCCAGTGTCTTACCGAGACAGGTATGACGTCACACGAGGTCGCCATTTTGCATTCTCTAGCAAACTTTTTTCCCTTCCAAACAGGCGTATTTGGTAGATGGGGGAAGAAACTGTTTTGTCTAGAATTATATCCTGCAAACACCTCCTTTCAGCAAGTAGGGAATCCATTTATTTTGCTCTGCTTATTTTGAATTTGGTCATCAAAGCTGAAGCAGGAATAATCTCCGAGACAGATGCTTTCTTCGAAAGTTGTCAGGCCTTGCAAAACTTTTGCACCTCTATTCACTTTTTTTTTTTTTTTTTTTTTTTTTTTTTTTAAAACCCAGGGTTTTTTTAGCAGGGTTTTCTTGTGTAGCCCTGGCTGTCTTCGAACTCAGAGGTCCGCCTATCTCTGCCTCGCGAGTGCTGGGATTAAAGGCGTGCGCCACCACACTTGGCTAAGGTTCCTGTTCTTTAATTGACATACGCTCCCATAGAGCACAACACTCATTGATTTTGCAGTTGTGCTCTTAACGGGAGACCCCATGTTTTTGTTTTGTATTTTATGTATGATGTTAACGTGACTCCCAAAAGACTGGGCCATCAAGGTTTATGATAGCTAGACCACCATCAGCCATCCCCCTAGTCAAAAGTATCATCCCTTGTGCAAAAGCAAGAGCCTGGCAGGTTGCTGCTACTCAAACCCCATGGTGTAATAGTGGTGGAAGAGTCTTGATAGCTTCGCTTCTAGTTCACCCATCTTTCACAGTAATCGCACCACGCAGCATACTTTTAAGATAGAATTTTAGCTCCCTGAGACCAAATATGTAAAAAAGGCCAAGTTTACTACTGAGCAGATACTAAAGCCTGGCAGTAAGATGTGGACCCCATTCTAATTACAAGAGCATGCTGTTGGGACAATTTAACCTCTGCCCAGTCCTTTCTCTATACAATGAGCAACAGTAGGCAAAACTACCACTGGGTGGGAGTGGGAATGGACATTCACCCACAAAGGTACTTATTCCAATACTTGTGATGAAAACAAGGTTGTCAGAGACTGTAGTCAGTGAGGAAAAAAAAAAACAAAAAACAAAAAACAAAAAACAAAAACAACCCACCAGGAAGCTAACCAACATTGTAATACATTAGATACTGTCCTGGATGCCTAGTCCCAAATTAAATGGGGCTTATTGATGCACATCACTAGGTAACAACTGTGAATCAGTTCTCAGGCCTGAGAACTTTGTCAAGTTTTTCAGTACTGTATGAAGGATTTAATCTTCATGAAGCAGTCTTGGAAATTAAGCTGAATCCTTTTATGGTAGACTGAGAAGTCTTAGGTTTCTTGATCATGCTCTGTCCAGTACAACTAGTTGTCTTCCACTGTTAGGTGAACATGATAACCGCTGTATCATGGGAAGCTCACTGCATTTTGCAGTTTCTTCAGTTCTAAGCCCAGAAGCTGGTTATGGTTTCCATCACCGGAAACCTCTGGTCTTAGGCACTGCAGTCTAATGAGACACACAGGAATGTGTACACAATACCCAGTAGAATTTGAACAAAATAGGGGAGGCACAGATAGTGCAAGTCCTTTGAAGAGGCCACCCCCCCATGGTGTGGGGGGTAAAGGGTAAGGAATATAGCTGTTTCGTTAAGCGAAAACTTGTTCTCACATATGTAGGTAATGCAATCCCCATGACAAAATTTGTATACAAATGTTCCTAAACTGAAAACAGGATTCACACACATGGGAGCTTATCACACAAACACTCAATCTTCACACATTCCAGCCTAAGTCCTTAATGCTGTCCTGAGTATCTCCCCAAACAGCCTTTCCCATGCTAGATTACATCAGCAGCTCACTGCTCTCATCCTTAAACATGAATTTATTTCTATACAATGTTCTAAAAACACCCCTTGGTTTGTACATAAGATTTTTTCATTTTTAAATTGCTTTATAACAACTGTATAATTCCTGATTTTAATTTTCTTTTCTCTGAAATCTGCCATGATTAAAAAAATTAAAAGGTAAAAGAAAATTAAAATGCCATGGCCAGAGGACAAGGTGGAGAAAAATAAGACAAAAATAAAACATCAATATGAAAATTCTGAGATAATGCAGTTTATAAACACAGAAATGGTTACAACAAAGATGGCCGTGATGAGCAGGTATATATATATATACTTATATATATATATATATATATATTTATATATAAATCCATGTCCAGCATCTGACCGTGGCACCTAGGGAGCTAAGTCCAGTCCACATGTGTGCCCTGACTTCTCCCTTCTCTGTAATACCCTGGCTGGGGTTTTGCAGAGTACAGCTCCCATAGCTCCTTGGATTGGGGTGGTGAGGCAGAGAATACAGGCCCTTGGTTGACAGAGATGGAAGGAGGCTGCAAGGAAAAGTCATAACCCACACTTGTATACTACCCTTGGTCACCTGGGAAATCTCTGGCACCTTGGTGACCATGTATCGGCTACTGTCCCTCTTAGAAATAAAAAGGTACAGTCACCACCCAATATGAAGTGAGACCATGACCATGTAAGGGAAAGAAAATGGCTCACAGGGGCCAGGGCATGTGCAAGACCTGTTCTTTTACAGGTAAGCGCAGCACGGAAGGCTGGTTGCACTTAGAGCTTCCTTCTGTTATATGGGAGGGCCAGCCGCTAGCCTTCTATTGGCTCCAACTTTGAGAAGAGAGAAAGGGAAGTGCCCACACTGGACAAGATGTGAGGCCATAGCAGATCCTCTCTCGAGCACCAACCCCCAGTTTGAAGAGCTCTGCTTGGATGGGGCTGTTGGGTAACACTATCAGCTCAGGATTCCTTTGTCAGTCAGGGTCAGCTGAGATTAAGGATGGTTGTCTTGAAGGAAGCCATGCCTGAGGACCAAGGAGCTGAAAACAGGACTTGTCAAGGAAGAAGAGAACTCTCCCACCAAGAGGAGTTGACAAAGGAGGGAGCAGAACTTCTCCCTCTTTCCAGTGGGTGGCAGTGCGGATCTCTAAGAGCTGGCCAGGTGCTCCACCTGGATGGTGCTGGTGGTGACAGTGAGGCAGATGTCTTTATGATGCTCTGCCGTCTTATAGGGGGTCAGGTCAAAGGAACACTGGGGTGGAGGGTTTGGGTTGCTGTCCCCACCACCCCCACCCTGGGGAGCTGCCCCAGGAGACTGGAAGTGTGGTGGTTGTGGTGGAGGTGGTGGCTGCTGTTGCTGCTGCTGCTGTTGCTGTGATGCCTGGGAAACCTGGGCCTGGGCCTGAGCCTGGGCCTGGGCCTGGGCCTGGGCCTGGGCCTGGGCCTGGGCCTGGGCTTGAGCCTGGGCCTGGGCCACTGCTGCTGCTGCTGCCGCCGCTTGCACTTGTTGCTGAAGATCAGGAGGGTTGTGTTTGCGCATGTGTTTCATAAGGTATGTTTCCTGAGAGAGATGGTAAAAAGAAGTTAAGATGAAAGCAAAGGAAAGAGATGGCCTGCAGCTATCACCCTGGGTGGGCTCTTCCTCTGTAACATCTAGAAAGGGACACTCTGGAGCTGGGCAGAAAGGAGTGGGACCTTCAGAAGTCACCATGGGCAATGAGCTGGCACAGGGAAGGGAAAGTTATTTTTCTCAAAGATCTCTGAGTGAAGCCATTTGATTATCCTGTTGTAGAGTCTCAGAAAATACCTGAACCCTTTCTCCATCACTGTTTATGGCGCTAATTATCTCTGAATACTGACTAGTAATCAAGAGCAGGGGCAAGCACATGAGAAGCCATTCACCAACAGACTTCCATCTAGAAGGGACACGGTTAAATACGGGAAGGGAAATACCAAGTACTCACCGATGTATATGCCCGACTACAGATTGTGCAGGTATACACCTTGGCGTGCTTCACCGTGTGTGTAGATAAGTGAGCCTCTAGTGAGGCTGCGTCTGTGTATGCTCGATGACAATTGTGGCACTTGAAGGGTTTATCTTTGTTGTGCTGCCGTCTGTGAGACTGCAAATACACAAGAGACACCAAAATGAGTACTATTCCTTCCTTGGCATTTATATAGAGAGCGAGCCCCATGGTCAGCACAAGACATCCTAGTTTCCCATTCTCCAAAAGAACTAGTGGCTAAGGGAGGAAATGGATTTCACAAGGCATAAAGTTCCAATGACTTCCACCCACCTGGTCACCCTCTTCCAGTGGCTCTTTTTTTTTTTTTTTTTTTTTTTTTTTTTTTTTTTGGTTTTTTCGAGACAGGGTTTCTCTGTGTAGCTTTGGTGCCTATCCTGGTACTTGCTCTGGAGACCAGGCTGGTCTCAAACTCACAGAGATCTGCCTGCCTCTGCCCTCCTGAGTGCTGGGATTAAAGGTGTGCGCCACCATTGCCCGGCTCCAGTGGCTCTTAAAGTGAGGTTTGGGGACTACCTGGCCTTTTCAGAGGCTCACAGAATCAAAACTATTCAAAATAATGAGACAAGGACTGAGATGAGTCAGGGGGCTGAGTGCTTGCTGTACATTAAGAACCAATCCTGCCGGGCGTTGGTGGCGCACGCCTGGTCTACAAGAGCTACTTCTAGGACAGCCTCTAAAGCCACAGAGAAACCCTGTCTCGAAAACAAACAAACAAACAAACAAACAAACAAACAAAAGAATCAGAGAATCCCATTGTTGGGCACAGGCGGAAACAAAATGCTCCCTAAGGTTTACTGGTCTAGTCAAACATGCTGAGCTCTAGCTACAGTAAAACAGTCTCAAAATAAAGAGCTATGAAGCTGACATCCTGGTGTTACTTATACATACAGTC